TCAAGCGTATTACGTATTTCCTTGGTTAACTTTTTTAAAAATGTTTTCGTTTTGGTTTTTGATTTAACAGTTAGGGATACGAATTTTTTCAGTAAAAGTGAAAATGATCCATATACGCCATTTAGTTATTTCTAATAGTTTTGCAAGATAAAAACGTATATTTGAGAATTTTGATTTTCACAATAATTACGATCACGTAAATTTTATAATCAAACTCATGCAAGTAAGTTATTTGAACCTAAAAACTACGAGACACCTATGGACACCTTTTGATTACTTTTACCAACCAACCTCAAGCAATTTCCGATAAAACTCTGTGGGCTGTAGTCCACCTGTCCTCGTTTTAGGATTCCAGATCATCCCCTTGTAAAAAAGCCTTATACCTAACTTTTTTTACTAGTAAATAATAATAACGATGGGACAAAGAGTACAAATAAGCACTTACTTAGTCAAAACCAATGGGACTGATTTGGACCAAACAATTCAATATGGGGGGTGCCGGCACGTCTTTACAACCCCCTAATTAAATTTATAAGGATAACTCCGGAAGTAGTAGAGTACTGACGTCGAAAAAGTGGTACAGGATATCAGTAGCAAACTACTAAAGATTGGCTCATTTGGAGATCCAATATTTTGAATCGGGGCTGCATTATGGCTCCATACCACCCCCTCCCACTAATGATCCCCTGTAGTTAATTAGGGGTTGCAGCACAAACGATGAAACTCGAGCACAATCCAGCACAAACGTAGCACAAACGAATGGCATAATTTAAATTTGAAAATTTGGAGGTGGGGTGCAGCCATTTCGCTGGCACCCCCACTAAAGATCCGTTCTAGCTCATTAGGGTTTGCAGCACAAACGATGAAACTCGAGCACAAACCAGCACAAACGTAACACAAACGAATGGTGTAATTTAAATTTTAAAATTGTGAGGTGGGGGTGCAGTCGTTTCGCTGGCACCCCCAATCATTATCCCTTATAACTCTTTAAGGGTTGCAGCACAAACGATGAAATTCGAGCACAATCCAGCACAAACGTAGCACAAACGATAGCCCTTGGTTTGAATCCGAAATTCTGAGGTGGGGGTGCAGTCGTTTCGCTGGCACCCCCAATCGTTATCGCTTATAACTCCTTAAGGGTTGCAGCACAAACGATGAAATTCGAGCACAATCCAGCACAAACGTAGCACAAACGAAAGCCCTTGGTTTGAATCCAAAATTCGGAAGTGGGGGTGCCAGGGAAATGCACCTACGGATCTCCGGACGTTAATTGAAAACCACGTCTGTAAGACCTTTGAAGTTTGAAGGTGAACGATGTTATATAATAGGTGTATTACTGATTATTTCGTACGTAGTAGAAAACGATATTACACAAGTCTTGTGCTCAGTGGCCATGCCATATTAGTTATCGCTAGGATGATTTCAGTAACTATTTTTAAATTTGAACGAAAAATTGATCAATAATATTGTCTATTAATATAAGTATAATATATATAAGTATTAATATATTAATAATTTTTAATATTTCGTCTATCAAACTAAATCAAATTATCACATATTAACATAATATTCTAGTAGGTAGGTACTGTTCGTGGCGTAGTTAGAATTATAAAATTATGAGGGGGGTAGGTATAAATGGAACCATGTTTTTACTGTTTTCGTATATAAATAATACATTTATTGTGGGGGGGGAAGTCAATGGGGGAGGAGGGGTTAACAACCCCAAACCCCCTGTCTACGCCACTGGGTACAGAGTACAGTACTTATAATAATAATATAACAATAACATGTAGGTATGTATTATCAGCAGTACCTACATAGGTACATATATAATAAATACAACAATACAGATATTAAATAAATTTATATATTTAACAGTTATTTAACAATAATTAACAACTATTTTTGATAGCTATTGTAGACAAAATATAGATACATTATGTTATAAATCACATTACAATATTTATCATTACCACTAGATTTTTTTAATGATTACAATTTATCACGCATCCCTATATGTGTATACTTATTAGTCTTTACTTATACTTGTGTGTTACGTAGTTATGTTATTCTGAAAATGTAACTTTTTAAGTTGTTATTTCTAAAAATAAATATTTATTGTTTCATAATATTACTAAATTACCTACACATTATAATTATTGGTATTTTAGTTACTGGTGTTTTTTTGTTTTTTATTTATTGGTTATTGGTTTTATTTATTTGATTTATAAATAAGAAATTAATAATTATTTTATTCTGTATATTGTATATACTAACTAAAATACCTGTAAATTAAAAACTGAAATAGGATTAATCATGAGTTACATGATGATAATTTAACTGTTTTATGTCAATAGTTACTCAATAGTATTCACATTATTTTATGATTTGTTCGAAGTCTAGGTATAACACCAACTTGATTGACAATTGATAATTACGAATAATTAAAATATAAAATAATAGTAACTCGAAATAATTCAAATATTATTAATACATTAGGTCAGCGGTCTCCAACCTACGGCCCGCCAATGTTTTTGCACCGGCTCGCTAAACTAATTAATGTCTTGAAAATAATATATCTAATATAATAGTTTTCATTGTTTTTAATTTTTTTAATTAATAAATTAAAATGAATTAATTATTTTTCTTTTGGTGTTATTCATAACAGGCTTATAATCTATACTAATGGATGGCCCATTCATCGAGGAAGGCTATAGGCTATATAATGCTATATGACATCACGCTACGACCAATTATTAGAAGTGCTCAAACAGGGATTTTGAGATTTACGATGGAAATATTTGATTATAAATGGTTGCTATTGGTTATAGGAGAAATAATCAATAGAAATAGTATTTATTTTTTATTGGTTGCTTTTAATGGATAATCGGGCAGATCATACAGGTACAAGCATACATCAAACCGAATTTTTACATTTTTTTAAGAGTTGTCATTTTGTAAGGGCCACGAAGTGCGCAGGATCAGCTAGTAGTCATATATACCTATATAATATTATATTAACCCTAACTAATTATAGAAAAACACGTTATGAAATACAAAATGTTTTTAACATATATTTTTCGAGATAATTCTTATCAATTCTTCAACTTCATAACCTCTCTATTCCTCTAATGATGTTGGCCCGTGATGCCACAGTGTATCTCAAATTTGGCCCACCATAAAAAAAGGTTAGAGATCCCTGCTTTAGGCCATTAGGGAATTTGAATATATTTTAGTGATAGTTAAACTAATATTTATTTTCATTGAAATACTTGCAAGAGTATATTTTTATTTTTCGAGAGAACACAGATTAGTTACTAGATTTTTGAAATTCCATCAAGAGGTTGTTGAAAACGACTGAAACCTTGTAACAAATGACAAGGGTTGTTTGAGGTAAAGCTTCATGCACCAGTTTGTATTTTTCCTAATTAATCATCGTCACCCTGTTATACAAATTACAAACACATGCCATCCATAGCTTTATGAAAAGCTGTGTGTAGTTTGTTACTACATAAATTAATTTAATTTTACAGAGATTTATATTACACAAAACTCTATGTTTGTTGAATAAAATAATTTAAAATCCATAATACAAATTGGAACTGTTTACTTAAAAAAAATAAACATTGGATCCAGCAATGGTTCTAGACGTATTCGAATCATAGATAATAACTAATAATTAATAAGGTCATTATTGTTGCTATAAACGGGCGGATGCAGATGATAATTTAATAAACTAATAGGAAATGAAGCACACGAGTTGTTTGGTATCTGAATTTGAATAGTATACATACTATAGCCCCTAGTAGAAATTGATTTTGATATTTTATTTTAAAGCAATAGTAATGATCATTTAAAAATTATTGTGAATTTCTATTATTTTATTATATTATTTAACAAACAAAATAAAATAGATTTTAGTGGTACTTATATGAAAAAATGTTTAACGTTGAGTTCGCGGTCCTTCCCCCTTGGATACATCAATTACACACAATTACACACATTTAGGAAATTCAAATTATTTTAGTTCATATAGCAATATGCAACAGAATAATTCTGGACCTTGGGTCAAGAAGAGCCAATCCCACTTTTTGGTGAAATGAGATACAGGGCTTAACATATACATAAATTGAATATGCTAAGCCCTTTATTTTAGGCCCTTTTATTTCACTAAAAAGTGAGATTGGCCCTTCTTCACCCAAGGTCCATAATTAATCTTAGTTACACAGTACACTATTACATGGGAAAAAATAAATATTTGGTTTAAAATGTGGTGATATCAAAATCTCATTTCTCAAGTTAACCAAATAGGATATAGATACTCGTTTGATTTCTACCAAAATCATTTTTAATAAAACAGAAAAACCGAAAATCACGTTTAAAATCCCCAATTCTCCTCTTCGTAGTTAAATTGTTTATAAGTTTTTATATCAGGTTATCTTAGCAGTTAGCATCATTAATATTTCCTATTTTGAGCTAAGAATAATTTTTCTAAAAATATATATAGAGTAATATTACTTAAGAGTTAGGTTAACTTAATACAATTTGAAATTGGCTAAGCAAATTCAATAATAATATTGACCCTACATGCATACATTGTTTTAAAATTCTGTTTCTTAATTATATAATTTACCCATCCATAAATCTATAACTATTATAAATAATTGAAAGTATTTGTTATTTACTTAAATAAAGTATGTACATGTAAATAGGTACTGTAATTTATTACTTATTGTTATACTTACTCGATACAAGACAACAATTTTCTATAACTATATTTTGTGGACGGTTTAGTTTCTAGACCTATTTTGCCCGTTTAGTATAAACAAATATGTCACTAATATTGTATTCTATAGTGTACGATTCCGATGAAAACAATAATAATATACATCATACATGTGCTCAAGTAATAAAAAAAAACTCATCAACAACAATAAGTTTGTAAAAACCTTTTTTACTCGCACTCCATCATGTAGCAGTTGTTTGAACTTAGAAAATCGTCATCTGACATTTAATTTTTGTACGTACGCTTGTAATGAGACACATCGCATATCGTAGAAGTATTGAAAATGGTAACCTCGTTTTAAATCCTTTAGTTTTTGGACTGTTCGTTTGCCCTCGTCTATAGTCTGTTTGGAAAATAAATAACACTTTAAGTTTTTAGAACCGTTGCCTAGTAATACAAATTACAAGTTATACAATTTAATATAACAGGGATCACAAATTAACATAATAATATTATCGTTTATCGTATTATTTTGTATCTGATATTTTAATTGATTTATTTTTCACTTCTATATATATTTACGACTCGTTACAGCTGGACTATGCACGCCTATAGGTATGACTGCAGTATGCCAATAAAAATCATATACATTTGGTTCGATTTCGAGGCGTAACTATAGTAATTATTGAAATTTGTTTTAAGTTTATATTTGTTGCCTGTTGAGTGTTGACCATTACAGTTCGACAATTATTTTCCATTATATAAAATAGAAATAAGTGGAAAAGAATAAAAAACTAACATAGAATAAAATAGTAAAAACAAAAAGAAAATAATGTATATAAATTACTGGCCCACGCAATGATCAAGTGTGTTCAACCCTACGCATGAATAGGATAATTTGGATTAAAACATAATTTAGAATATATAACTATTTAGAATATAAATTTAATATATAGAACATAAGTACTTCACATATATGCACCTTCATTTTAAAAATGTTATACCTGCCATTGGTTTTCATTATTAGAAATTAGATAGAATAATAGAATTTAATATTGTATATATTAACTCTAAAAAATTGTTCTATGTAGTATGTTCTATATTGTCTGAAATCAAATATTCATGTGAACTTAAATCTTCATCTCATATAAAATCGAATAAACAAAATAATTGAATCGCATGATAAATAAAATGTAGTATAATAGGTAGGTACCAATATTTTTTAAACAAATATTTTAGACTGTTGATTTCAAAAAACAAATGCATAAAGAAATATAATAAAATATTCGATGTCTATTAAGTGTACTCGCAGTGACACCACACTAAAAAATAAATGATTTTTCAATAGTGGATAATCGATTAGGATCTTGTTTTTTTATGTTGTAATAAATTCCAGGAACTGTAATAATATGAGATTGAAGCTCTATACAATTAAATATACCTATATTAAAAGGGTACTGAAAATATAAATAAAACGGGATGTATAAAAAAAACAATAATAATTCGTAATATTATATTCATTCTATAGGTAGGTACAGTCCAATATAAATGAAATTATTTTTGGCTGATAAAGTAATTTGTGTAAAATACAATAGGGATAAAAACCATACGTTAAAAATCTCATAGGTATAAATGATAGTAATTAATACAAATATACTGTAATGCACGATAATTAAACTATTTTTAATAATTAATAAACCTCGCTTACTTCGATGTGTCTGATCTGCTCGGCGGTAAGTTCATAAACTCCATACACGTACAAGTGATCACGCCGCTGGTTCCGGTCCATATTTTCGACAATTTCGATCAGGGAATGACAATGGTCATCGACGAAACCCAAAACTTTGCGACAGACGATCGTCAGTAATTGTTTTGTGTAAAACATCGTGTTGTCGTCGTCTTCAGCTTCTTTGCAATCTGCCAATAACAATAAAAATAATAATAATAATAGAAACGATAAAATAATAATCATCAATCAAATAAATTCCATACGTAAACACGGAATTATAGGTAGGTATATTATAAGCCATTATACAAAATCTCAGATTTATTTACCGTTAGATAATAATAGAAAAAAAATGTAAAAATCATATAGGGTATTATATGTAAAACATGAATAGCTGTAATAAAACCAAAAAATCGTTGATTGTGAGTAACCAAAACTATCTAACTAAAAAACCGATTTTTTCATAAATATAGTTATAACTTATAATCCAAAAACTAGATATGCACATTGCTCAATATACATATGAAATAATGAATAAAAATAATAAGTTATTATTTGTTGTCACCACTTGTCTGATGTTGATACTATTATACTGTCAATATTTTTATTTTAAAAGTTAATAATAATAACAGAAATTTGAAACTCAGTTACTAAATTTAATTTTTTTAACCTATTAATTATCGAAAAATTTTATCCAATCGTTTTTGTTTAATTCCTGCGATGAAATGTTTTGACTACACTACTTTTTATTGGTATCTCAGTATCTCACATGCTTAAAACTTTAGAGAGTATATTTTTTACCAAGATTCCGAGAAAGCTTAAATATTGTTTTAAAGAATAATAACGTTTTAACAACGTGTCACCACTGCCAACCAGAATTATGATTTTTATAAATAATTAAAAATGATTATATAAAATATTCTGTTAATGAGTCGATGAATTTGCATGTTCATTTAAATTTAATATTGAAGTATGGAAAAATCATAAAGTAATTACAAATCATGATTAATGGTCCAACTCAATAAATATTAGCCAAATATTAAAATGAGAACTATAATTAATCATCATTAATCATAGAAAAGACAAAAGCGTTTCAAGTGTAGAGCTTTGAAACGCGATATAACAAATAAAGTGCTAAAACTCGTTGTAAAATTACTTAGATTAAAAAGTATAAGGCCTATCGTTCAATAGAGTGTGCCTAGTGCCTATTTTACTATCAAGTTTTATTCCAAAATAAACATTATACTTAAACAATAAAAACATGCGTTTAAAACAATTGTTTCCTTTATAGTTTATATTGACAGTTTATATTTTAACAAAAGAAGTCTATAAAAAATTAAAGAAGTAATTTTGTAATTATAGCTAAATTAAAATATCATATCAAAGTAAATTAAAATATAAATTACTTGATCATTGTTTTTTTTATAGTCAGAATTCAAAATACTCAGTTTGTATACACAATTTATTTGATCTTTCATCTTTGAATCGTTCGATTCAAGTTCGAAGTATAATCGAAGTATTAACAGTGTGTACTTTATATTGTGATTCAGTATTCAATACCTACGTCATTAATAAAAAATAAAAATTAACTTTATAAATTATTAAAAAATAGTATAGGTACAAATACGAATTTGTGATAAACAAAATAATATAATATTTACAATTAAAATAATAATGAATTGGAATAACATTTATTACAGTTGTAGGTACATTTTTAATATTTTAAATATTTATTTACATTTATAAAAATAAAAAAGAAGTTAATGTAAAAGAAGATAATATTTTAATAATTTATTATATAATGTTAGCACGATTATGACACGTGAATGACGGATCCTACGAATAAATCGAAATCCTATCCAATATTCGAATCCACCGACTGAATAGTAGGTAATATGGAAAAGTAATATACTTAATACTATATTGTAATCACCGGACGAGAGATTATTGACCATTGGCGTAACTAGGGGGGGGGGGGTGCTTTAGGTCTTTAGCACCCCCTAAAAAATTGTTTAAAAATTTGAAATGAAAAGTTGATAATTGATCGAATTATAATTATAACACAATATCATTGTTTATAATATAACATTGTATCACACCAAGTATAATTTTTGTTTTGTTCTTTTTTTAAAAATAATTTGGACTGTCTTGTGTTTACCTGGAATTATGGTTTTTGGTTTGTTTAGTGGTTGTATTTACTTGTTTACATAGGTATAGGCAAATAATGGTGTTAGGTCCCATTGAGTCACAAAAAAACCTAATAATAATGAACAAACGATGTCTTAACTTCTATAGTTGTACGGTGGGTCATAATATATTGTGTCCCACTTTGCCACAGAAGGAGTTAAATAATCAAAACGCATATAATCTAATATTATTGCGGACTTAAAACGCGGTGCTTACCCGATAGGACGGCTTGCAGAGCGTCCACCGGCCACTTGGCCACGCCGTACTTGACGTACAGCACCTCGTAAGCGATCAAACGGCAGTGTCGCTGGCCGTCGCGGTGGTTGCAGTCGGCGTCGTCTCCGCTCGAGGCCGCCGCCGTCCACCGCAGTGCTTCGGCCACCTTCGTCTCCTTGCTCTCCATAAAGCTGCACATCGTACCCGGACAAGCGTTCAACCTACAGCCGTTGACCGCTTCGTCGGCACGCTGTCTCATCAGCTCAGCTGTGGTTGAATCACCCGCCGCGCCTGCGCACACTAAATAAATTCACACGCACCCATCGCCTCGTTATTAGTTCTTATGACTTTGTTTTGGGCGTTATTTTATAAATTCTTGAGTTGATTGGGGGGGTCTTGATTCTTGATAAAAAGTTCAGATATTTTAGAGTACCTACCCCTAATTTTTTTCCGAATCAGGACTCAAAGGATGGTACTTTTTTTTTAGAATTTCTTATAAAATTATAAAGTTAATAAAAAAAAAAATTGTTTAAAAACTGTGTGTAAATGTTGAAATCTGATACAGTGATATACTCATATACATGATAAATGATAATCATGTAATATTTGAGTATAAGTTGATAAGTTAACGGCGGTTGTCACTAATTGTAGATAGGTCTATAATATTGAAACCGCACGAACGACGTCAAGAAGACAGTAAGACTATTTGTCCTAAAAGACAATTTTATGAATGAAATGTATTCTCATTTATGAAATTCATCAAATAAAGATCAATAAAAAAAGTTTAATCATGTTAATTGTATTTTGGTAATTATTTTGAAAGGTTATGGCATCTCCTATGGTGTCAACTTAGTCGTTACACGTTTGTTGTTATAATTAGAATTTGGGACTAATTTTAGATATTTTAGATAACAATTAATATATATTATATATAGCATATAGGTAGCCATAAAGGTATACATATTGCATTACAAATAAGTTATTTAATTAAAATATTTAAAACCATATTTTATTATTGATCCATTTAAGTTAATACACAAAATAATATACTTTAACTATACCTGCAAAAGACTACCATCTATATTCTATACCCACGCTTAATGCTTATGGTTGAAACTTTTAAAGTATGTATACTAAGTTATGACATTTTTGTTTGCCTGTGGTAATATGTTTGAGGCTTTATTTGAACCTATTGAAAGTATAATAAAGGGAGAGAATGATACGTAATAAGGATATTAATTACAGCTAGGGATATACTTTTTTTTTGTCACCTAGTTAGGATCTCTACTATTTCTTTTTCAAGTCAAGCACTGTATTTTATCAAATATTTTGGCGTGTTAAACCGAAACCGCCACTGTGACTGAATATATATATATATAAACATTACTTTTGTATGATATAATTGGGGATCAGTAAACAAATGTAACCCATGTCGAAAAAAAAATAGACGTTTTAAAGTATTTATTATAATGCCCTGAAAACCAAAAAAGATCATAATAGTGTGTGAAAAAAAATTGTCTGTGAGACTCGAGCCCTCAATTTCAAAGTTCTATAGTAACCCATATATTTATATAGTTGTATATTATCATGATAATATCATGACATATTATATCGACTCACAATCGAAAACTATCGCGTTTTATTATCATTGTGTGAATCCAGTCCACATGGCACCAGTGAAAAATGAAATTGTTTTCATTAAATTAAAATTTAAAATCACTATTTATTAATATAATATCTGCAAGAGATTATAAAAGTGTTAAACTGTACAGTACTTACTACCTACTTAACAAAATCAAATATTTATGAAATATTATCTACCAATTTTATAAATATACCTATACATATTATACTATTTATACTAGTTGTATTACCTGACTCTACCTGGGTAAATCGTAAATATGAATAAATGTAAGCAAATTGACTTTACTTTTTAAAAGGTTCGTATATACAATATTTGTTCTAAGTCTTCGGTAAAAACTAGACAGATGGCGCCACGGGTTTAATCCTATTTCCCCATTCTATTTTCCGCGGCGTATGAGTTATATCAATTGTATATAATAGCTTATGCTGGCGGGGATCGACACCGATTCATTGATGTCTGTAAGTTTGTCGAAATAAAGTCGGTAGTTAAGGAGATAACCCAGTCACCCCTACCTAGATCCACCCATAGGAGTTATATGGGTGTTCTACGCCTACCCCAACAGTATTATTTTCCAAGTAGGAATTTATATACATGACTTAGTTAGGTTAAAATTTCTCAAGACATTTTATAGGTTATGTTGGAATATATATACATAGGTAGCTTCACATTTCCGTTTCTTTATAAATATATTATAGTATTATCCAACATTATTAAAAATATTCAGATATTTATAAGATTTCTAAAGGTTTTTAAAATTACAAATGTGTGTAAATGCTGCTATACCATATTTTACAAAGTGATTCTTGTTACAATCAACAGTAAACACTCATTATCTCAAAAATCATTAAAGTTTTTTTATTCAATCTGAAGTCATTATAAAACAACAATTTTTACTATTTTTTGTCGGTATTAAAATATACCCATTCAACTTTTTTTGAACGACAACTTAAATTTTTAATTTCATACTCCAGAACATAATATTTTTCTGAGAATTTTGATGCATACAAATTGAATTTTGAACGACTAGTTAATTATAGTTATAAAAAAAATTTTCAGCTAGATAACCAAGAATTGGTTACCAACAATATTATACAAAATAGTAAATTTGTTCTGTCTAGTACAATAGTCATAATAACATATTGTGTTTTTGTTGAAGATGTTAAAATAAAAACATAATAAAGTATTATTTAGGATACTATTAATCAGTGATATATAATATATTAGTATATTACCAATCAAAACTTATACAAGTTGTCAACATTTGATATTCAAACGCTTATAAAAAAAAAAATTAGTGCCAATGTATTTCAATATAATATTATATATATTTCAATATATACAAATAACACCACAATATTTTTAAAATTATGTCATATTTAGTAGATACCTAGAAATATAAATATTTTGTGAAAAATTAAAGCCTACAGTTAGTAGAGTTAAAAAAAACAACAAAATTGATTTGATTGAAAACTAATTTTGCATAAAAACCAACTTATGCTCTAAATTGTTTTTGTTTATTCCCAGATTATTTTGTACCAGGAATTTATTGTTTGTTAATTATTTGGAAATTTGATCCTACCAACTAGGTCTAATTGGATATCAAAAACAGTTTTCATGGTTGAAAATCATTTTTACTGCTCCTGAAGGTGTCACACAAAAAAAAACACATTGTTGAAAAACCAATATACGTATAATAAAAGAAAATTGTATAAAATAAAACTACAGAAGAAAAATGATTTAAATTCCAAATTTTTTTACTATATTAATTATTAACCATCATTAAGAGATTTGTTTTAATATAATATTTTAACTTGAAACATAATATATACAACATATAATGTTTATTGTATGATACTTTAATCGATCTTTAGAACTTCTTATTTGGCTACCATAATAAAAACCGACCCGCCACCTGATTACGATAATATAACCACAAATAAATTAAACACTTAAAATAATTTTATTTTCAACCTGAATTTACAGCACTTCGTTTTATAACTTTATTACCACATCGTGTATCAACTATTTAGACGGGTACGACGGTATTCCCAACTCCAGGGAACGTAATTAACGCACAAGTTTTCAAATTATTCATTTAGATTTTATATTTATGTATCAAAGTAAGAACTTTGAAAACTTTTACGGGTTTTTGTTGAATTTAAACTTTGTTGAAGTATAATATTTGGTATATTTTACAAATTATTTGCAAAATCTCTAATACACCATGGCAATATCATGGTATACGCACTGACTTTCAAAATCAAATAATAGACAAAATATTTTGATAAAAAATGTTTTCAAATATTCCAGATTTCGATACTTGTTTATATTTTTACGTGAACAATGATTAAAGTATTATGAATTAAAATAGACTGAGTAAATTCCATTAATGTCGATTAAAATTTTTTGAATTTTTTCCTCAAAATGAATAAAATTATTTCCTCAGCAAATATGGTGCAAACAAATCCTTTAATATTTGAAAACTTTAAAGCCCTGTTTAAGATTTTACCAGCTGTCTTTGTTTCCCTGACTCGAACATAACTTTATAAGCCCATCATGAAATCCGAAAACAAAAAACTGAGGACTCGAGAATGCATCCCATTATACGAATCGGTGGGAAAGGTTAAAAGTTCATATTATAATATTATATAGGTACTAGTATCATATTATAATAAGACCATAAATAGGAATAACTGTCGGATGTTTATTTCTTCATATCAACATATCATCGGAGTTTTTTAATTTCTAACTAGGTACACCACAGAACAAAATACAACACTGAATCCTAATAACTATTGTGAATAACTTATTGGTATATACGATATACTAGAGGTGTCCCACCATTTCCTAAAGTATTTAGATATTGTAGATATAGTATAATAGCACATCAGTATCTTTAGGATACTTATTTGTACTTTTTAGAATAGTATGCACTGTATAAAATAAATAACTAAAACTACGACGGCAAAAAGGAACATTATAAAATAAAATATTTTTCTTTTTTGACCTAAGTATAAATTGTTATGTCTTATATCATTATATATGAAAACTTTTAGATGGATATCATTTTATTAAAATAAATAATGTTACATACCTACCTACTATTAATAATCATAGTTTAAATATTATCGAATATTTTACTTACAAAGTTGCAACTTATATAATTAATTTATAATTGTATGAATAATTAGCTGAAAATATGAAAAAAGGACTATTGAAAATAGCACCTTAAAAAATAGTAAAAATACATCTTATAATTTGGTCGCTGGATTAAATACTGTATATTTTCGATACAAGAAAATTATCTTTTAAAAATATTTTCAGTTTTCCGAGACAATACGAATATGTTTTAGAATTTTAGTGCAGTAAGAAATTTCGAGAAATAATTTTTTATAAATGTAATAATTTGTTTTTACCTGTAGCCATAAAGTAATGATACTGCCTCATCCACACTTCTGCTACACTTGCGAACTTTTTATACGCAGCCATCCAATCCAATCGAATTGCATACATGAACCCTAACTCGTGTAAACACATTGTTTTCATACTTACAAAAGAATTATCAACTACAACTGTTGATCCAATCTCGTACGCTCGTATCGATCGTTCTAAATCACCCTACGATTATAAATTTACTGTCGATATTTAAAGAAACGTCGATTAACTAAATATAGATAAGATTATATGAATAGTTATAGCCAGCGACTTCTATTTAAGTTATATTATGTTAAGTTTATACAGTTCTACAAACCTTGAGATAAAGCGATCGCCCAGTAAAGTATTGCAGAGATGTCGAGTTTTGGAATTCTTCAGGTGGATTACATACTAATTGTTCTGATTCCTTGACGTAAGTTTCATTTTCTCGAGACTGGGGACCGTCGAACAAGTAATCTGTGTTTCCCATCATGTGATACCATGACAGGATCAACCTATAATAAATAAGTACTTAGACAATCATACAGGTGCTTAAAAATAAGCAGAGACGTGTATCACCTTGGGTCTCTCTAAATAGATCTTTAGTACCCATGTATATTATGTATATATGATCATTTTTATGCACACTCAACTTATTAATTGCTTAAATTATACATTTATATTCAAATTCTGATATTTAGAAGTTGTATTGTACTTAAAGACCTAAAGTAATAAAGTCTAGAACCATTTTTAAAACATTTTTTTACACCATTTAAGGACTTTTTACACTCGACTATATTATTACCAAGTTTATATTTCGATTTTACGTAATATAGAGTAACTATACGCACCACATTATCATATGCAATTACAATACATTTTAAGCTTTGGTCACAATATTGTGCATAGGTATATTGATTTTTAGCTTTAAAAATAATCCTATTTGTACATGAATATTTTGTATTGTTATTGAACCCTCAATCTGCAGTATATAATATAGGTTTCAAGTGATTTATGTGTTTTATGTGGTTTTATGTGTTTCATCTCTTCTTAGAGGTGTAGGTTACTGTGATAATAAAAAAAAAATAATAATTTTATTGACAATTATAGAAAATTGAAAATGTCCGCACACAGCTCAAAAAGAGTCAAAATCTTTTAAAAATTTTATCATGTATGGGAATTGATAAAATAAACATATGGTGTAAATTTTCATGTATCTACAGACTACAGTTATTCATTTTTGAATTACTTACAACAAAATAAGAAAATCACTACTTGAGAAATCGAGTGAATATCCAATGTCGTAAAAATAGAACTTCAAATGCTCATAAAAATTTAATTTGAGTCTCTAGAAGACATTTTTTTTTTTGATTAGGGTAGACAAACTTATAAGGAATCTTGTATTACATTTTCAAATCTTAGATTTAAAATGAAAAAAAATGTTCTGTATTACTAACTCAAAATAATTTGCACATTTTCGTGATTTTTATGTATTTTGCCAAGATTTTAACTTTAAATTCTTATAAAAAAAATCATCGTGACTATATGTATTTTTAATATTTTTCAACTCCCATTGTAACAATATATCAGAAGTTTTTTATTAAATTTTCAAGCTTTTTCACCCAACGAATAAAACTGTATTGATATTTATAGAAAAACAACCTAAAAAAACTAAAAACTGAAACTAAGTCAAAATATTTTGAATATTTTATGGTGTATAGAAAATGCTAATATAAATGTGCAGTGAAAATGTCATGTATCTACTGTAATTTCTTTTTGTGTAAAATTTCCCGGTTTTCCTTAATTTTTTTTCCCCGGCGCTTTTGAGAACTACTGGAAATGTTAAATTTTGACTTCCAAATTGCACCAACTAGATTCATTTTCTCAACGAACAAGATACTGAAGTTGAAAATTGAACTATTATTTCGACTACTTAGCGCGTACACAAAAATTGGCAGATATCGGATGGATAAAATATTGAATTTTTCATAACCCCTAACCTGTAGCAGTCTATAATCGTAAAACATTGGTATCTAGTAGACTAGTTATTATGTATATTAGGTATAGGAATGTTCTATCCATGTATATAATATTATCTATGACTTTTTAATTAAAAAAAAATGACTATGATATAGTTTATAGTTACCATGCCAACGGTGCGTGTACATCAGGCCCGTTTTTGGCAAACGCTAAAACTTCTAAACCGGTTTGGCGGTTTCCACGAAAACCCAACATTCCGATTAAAGGGATAACCATTGGTGACATTAATGATAAGATCAAATTAAAAGCTCCATATCCCACACTGACCGCTGCCATCAATCTAACCACGTCTTTAGTCATCCCATTTGACACACTAAAGGAAAAACAACAATAATTAACATGTACTCAATCATAATAATTATGATTACTTTAAAAATAAACTTTGCATCAAATTCATGATCAGTTGGTCGAAGTAGGTATACATATCACTAAGATAAAAGTTAGGTAAACCAGTTATAACTAAGAACTTAAAAGTAAATTGCATTATACTAGTAAGTATAGGCTAGTATTATAGGTACTAGTAGATTAGATGGTCGACTGACGAGTATCGTGTTTGGACAGCATACAGAGGAATGTTATCGTGAATCAGACAATATAAATTCTCGTAAGAACTAAAGGAATTAAACGAATTTTTAATTATTTAAAAACACTAGGTATACATACTTATTATTATACCGTTTGACATTATTGTGGCTTTTGTTATTAATCAGTTAATTTGTTTTTAAAAATAATTATGCAAATATAATTCATATTGTATTTTCAATAATCATCTGGTTTACCCGTCTGGGTTCCGGGAAAGAATAGACCCAGAGTATTCCCTGCTAACCGTAAGAGGCGGTTAAAAAGGGACTGGATGAGGGCAACAGCTTATCCAGTATTGGATGCAGGTGGAGGCCAAAAGGGCTAGTACAGCTGCATACCAAATAGCTGTAGGCGATGATGGAAGACATCTCCACGACTACAGTACTGCGATGTGGAAGGAAACGGGAAACCACCACATTAACATCCCTAGTATTTGCAGAATGAATTGCCAACTCAACGTAAAAAATTCCGGACGTAAAATAGTCTCCCATTCGGATGTCCGGGTGGAGACTACTTTGAGAGATGCAAAGTGGAGGTACAAAAGAATTGGTACCTGGAATGTAAGATCCCTTGGAAGATGTGGAAAATTTGAAAATCTTAAGCTGGAAATGAAAAGATTGAATATTGACATACTTGGAGTAAGTGAAATAAGATGGCCCGAATGTGGTGATTTTTGGAGCGATGAATATAGATTTGTTCACACAGGTTCAAGCGATAGATACACAGGAGTAGGCTTCCTGATGAATAAACAATGTGGTAAAAACCTTATGAGCTATTATCAATGTACTGACAGAATCATCATGGTAAAAATTAACTCCTGTCCAACAATAACAACGATTATCCAAGTATATATGCCAACAACAACGCACGATGACGATGAAGTCGAAGAAGTGTATGACAAAATAGATGAAGTTCTAAAGATGACAAAAGCTGGAGAAAACGTCATTATCCTAGGAGATTGGAATGCATCAGTAGGAGAACAGAATGACGGATATATAGTAGGAAATTATGGATTAGGGAAAAGAAATGATAGAGGCGAGAGACTCATACAATTTTGTACACAACACGAGCTTGTGCTAGCAAACACCCTGTTCAAGAACCATAAACGAAGAAGGTACACATGGAAAGCTCCTGGAGATATAGCGAGGTACCAAATTGATTACATTATGACAAAACAAAGATTTAGAAACCAAATCAAACAATGTAAAGCATATCCCGGAGCAGATATAAATAGTGACCATAATCTCTTAATCATGGAATCAGAACTAAAATACAAAAACATTAAAAAGAAAAATAATATTAAGAGATGGAACCTACAGAAATTAAAAAACGATGAAATAAAAATGACATATAATAAGAAATGTAGTGACACTCTAATGACAGTCACACCAGATAATAACACAGTAGAAGAAAAATGGAAGAATATTAAACAAATACTAAAAAATAAGGCTGAGGAAGTTTTGGGATCACGGGAGAAAGAAGCAAGGAAACCCTGGATTACGGAAGAAATTATAGAACTAATAAACGAAAGAAGAAAATACAAAAACCAAAACAACATAGACAGTCAACAGAACTACAAACACATCAGAAATATAATACAAAGAAAAGCAAAGGAAGCCAAAGAAAAATGGTTAGATAACCAATGTACTGAAGTGGAAGAGTACCTAAAAAGGGGAAGAAGTGATCTAGCTTTCGAAATTGTGAAAAAACTTTTCTGCACAAGAAGAATGAATAGAAATGCACTGAAAAGTAAAACGGGTGAGATACTTATAACAGCCGAACAAAAGGTAAACAGATGGAAAGAATATCTAGAAGAATTGTATGCAAACCAATTTAGTGGAAATGTCCTAGAAGAAGAGAACTGTGCAGAAGATGAAGACAAAGGAGACTATATCCTCCAATCAGAAATTGATTTTGCTATTGAAAATCTTAAAAACAACAAAGCATGCGGTATAGATAAAATCCCAGCAGAACTAATAAAGTGTGCCGGTGAAGAAATAAATAAAGAACTTGGAAATATATGCAACGAAATGTACTTAAACGGGGAAATAATTGATGATTTCAGGAAAGGCATTATAGTAACAATTCCCAAGAAAAAGGGGACAATGAATTGTGAGGAATATAGGACTTTAAACCTCAACACGTATGCTTCAAAAATAATAACAAGGATAATAAAGAATAGAATAGAAAAAGCAATAGATGCAAACCTAGGAGAAGATCAATTTGGTTTTAGGCGAAATATAGGAACCAGAGAGGCGACCTTAGCGCTAAGGATAATGATAGAAAAACAGATTAGACGAAACAAAGAAACCTTCATTGCTTTTGTAGACCTGGAGAAGGCTTTTGATAATGTACAATGGAAGGAATTATTTAAAATATTAAAAAGAATCGGAATTAAATATAACGATAGAAGATTTATCTATAATATGTACAAAAGCCAAACAGTCATAATACAGATAGATGGGAAAGAGCAAGAAGCAAAAATAAAAAAAGGTGTAAGACAGGGCTGTATTTTGTCACCAATGCTATTCAACTTGTACATTGAAGAGGCAATGAAAGAATTGAGAGAAGAAATACAGAAAGGAGTGCGAATAGGAGGAACAATGGTGACTGCCTTAAGATTTGCGGATGACATAGCTTTTTGTGCTGAAAGAGAAGACGACCTGCAAAATACCCTAGTAACAATAGATAGAATACTAAAAAATAAGTATGGAATGAAGCTGAACAAAAAGAAAACAAAAATTATGGTTTGCAGTAAAACTAATCCGGTTCGACTCAACATAAATATCGGAAATGAACAAATAAAGCAAGTGCAACAATTCACATATCTAGGAAGCAATATAACAGAGGATGGTCGCAGCAAAACAAATATAATCTGTAGGATAGCACAGGCGAAAAGAGCATTTCAAGACAAAAGCCACATATTAACTACCAATAGTGTTAGCCTGGAAATAAGGAAGAAATTCCTAAAAAGTTATATTTGGAGCGTAGCGCTCTTTGGATCCGAAACCTGGACAATAAACTCAACGGAAAAAAATAGGCTAGAAGCCTTTGAGATGTGGTGCTACAGGAAAATGCTCAAAATACCATGGACTGAGAAGGTAACGAATAAAGAAGTACTAGACAAAATAAAGGAACAACGACAAATATGGAAAAGTATTCAATCAAGAAGAGGCAAGATGATAAGACACATTTTAAGGCATGAGAGTTTATTAAAGAAAATAATTGAAGGAGATGTTGAAGGACACATTGCAAGAGGAAGACCAAGAACAGAATACATGACACAGATAATGCAGGATACGAATAAGGGAAGTTACAAAGACCTGAAGGAATTGTGCTACGATAGAGAAGCATGGAGAGCTGCAACAAACAAATCTACGGATTTATAACAAAAAAAAAAAATCTGGTTTACGATAAAAGAATCACTGTTTATAAGTTTATTGTTAAATAATATTTATTTATTATAATAAGTGTACCAATTTTGACGTAGCGTTACAAAAGACGTGGTAGCCGAGCGATGCATACGACTCTCTACGTTTAACGTCGATGCCAACGAGGTGGCAGACGTGGATTGTCTGCGTTTCAAAACTGGCGGCCACCTCGGAGTGTTGTCGTCTGATACAGACAGAAAAGTAAAAAAAAATTAATACTCGTGAGTGAAGTCCCAAATTCCCATGGGTATTATATACGTATAGGTTAGGTAGTGTCGGCCTGGCACATAAAAGGCTCATGGATCAGTTTTTTTAAGGTTTTTTTTAATGAAATACAAATCTTACTTGACACTTTGATAAAAATTTAATTTTTTTCTTTAAAAATACATTTATACAAATTCTGATTTTTAGAATTTTTAAGTATACCTAAAGACAATACATTCAAATTCCTGATATTTTTTGTACTACTATTGAATAGTGTCCTGTGGCTATACAAACTTCTATTTTTCAAATGAGAATCTCCTTTTTTACTCCAAATTATTTAGCAGATAATATTCTTGTTAATGTAGATTTATCTAAATTTGCATTAATTTTTTTAACTTTATTAAAAGTAAAAACAGAGGATTCCTATTTTAAAAACAGAAGTTCGTATTGGAACAACATTGTCCTTAAATGGTATAAAAAACCTCAAGTATTCAAAAATCTTCAAGAGTAGTTAGAAATTCTAAAAATCAGAATTTGAATATAATATTATGTACAATTTCAGTAAAAAAATATGGCGAGCATGCTTAAAAAATCACTTCGTATCGTATTAACGCGAAGCCTAATGATGGGAATCATTCGTTTAGTAATAAATTATGAAATATTTGAAACGGCAATATAATAATTAATAATTATTAATTACACAGAAATGAAATTACGAAAACCAAAATTATATTTATATTACCTATAGAATTTTAACTTTGAAGACAAATCCATAAGCTATATGCATAATATTATTCACGTAAACTTTCAAAAGTAAATGTAAAATCTTCATCATTGTTTAATATTTAATTATATATATATATATAGGTATAGGTAAATGTTTAGTAGGTATTATAAATCATAAATATTTTTGTATGAAATATTTTTATGATCGCTGATTGCTGAATCCAACATCGGGGCCGCTGCAGGGTCGTAGCCTCGTCTCGGCACATTGTTTTTAAGGAGAGACATAAAATCTAACTTAACTTGCAGTAGCAAAATTAATCCAAAAAACCTCCTCTTACTTATTACTTAACACTTGTACTAATATAGTGCCCTGCTCACACTATAAATTATAATAGGCAAGCATCTGGGCCCTGTAAAGAAAAATGGTTAAATATATCGATAAATACTTTACGGGGTCCTTACTCCCTATATAGACCAGGCACACGCCAAGCAAATAAAAAAATGTAAGAGACCCTAAAAAAACGGAGGAGCCCCGGCCCCATGGCCAGGACGACACTGGGTATAGGTCACTGTTATCAGCTACTATAATAATAATATTATAGTATGGATAACCCGGGCATAGGTATATCGAGTAAAAATAAAAATAGTGGTTAACTCGCTGACCAGGGTCCAGGTCGTAAACGGTTCGGTAGATGTCCAACACGGAGGCATAACATTGCTGGTACATTTTCCAGGCACGCCGCAAAGTGTATATCGTTTTGGCGGTAGCCATGTGACCCACATTGTACCCATTTATGACCTTGACGACCATCAGTCCGACTATGCACAGGGTGACGTCGGCCAGTGCGATCTGTCCGTCGTAGTAGTCCACTCCCGCGGTGGCGCTGGACGAGAATTGCAGTTTGCGCCTGAACGCCCCCAACCACCCGCCGTCGTCCAACATTGCGCCGCATCGTGCCTCAAGTCGCTTGAACTCGGCCAGCGCGCTTTCCAGCCGTGACTTTTCCGGCGTTTGAATGGCCGTCTGTGGGAAATCCAGACAAGTTAGATATTATCGTTAACAACGAACCAAGTAGCCTGAGCGTGCAGCGGGTCATTTGCTATACGTATTATTTTGTTGGTACATACCTATGTGCTACTAGGTATATTATGTGCAAATATTTTTAAAACTTTCATTTATTTTTCAACATTGTATTATCATTTTTATTAAAAAAATCTTTCTATTAATTTACATGTTACATTAAAATAATGAAGGAAAAAATAATAAACGAGGTGTTTTGAAACAATAATTGCGCCAGCAGACTTCGCAGCTATAGGTAATTGAGCTAAACTTTGCGTAAACTTCAAAAGCTATTTGTTACCTATGTTAAATTATTTATTTTTATCGATTATAAACTTAAATGAATACTATTCACTTTTATTGAAAGTTTTCTAAGGAGTTAGTAATAAATATTTATCAATTATTATGATACATATGATACATACCTATTGGTTTGTAATATACCTATACACGTGTAGATGTTTGTGTGCAGTGTTATTTGTTAGTAAAATTAACCTCGATTTTAACGTTTATTTTTTCATTGCTTATATGTATGTAAAATTAAAGTGTATAAACGTTTAATTACATAGGAAAATAATAAATATTATAGTTTATTCATGTAGCTAGGTGTATTATCGTATTACTGTCAACTGAGAAAGCCGATAAGTATACGATTTTTATTTTAAATTCATTCTGCACTTGAATTGATGACGCGCGTTAAAGTCCTTAAATTACAACGATATATATAATATCATGTAGTTTATATTTTTAATAGGGGGAATTTGTGGTTAAGTTAGTCTATTTAATTTCAATGACACTATACAGTGACACCCATATATATATGTCCATACTCAAAATTATGTACAAATATAAACTGTATAGTTGTAACATATTTACTAGAACATAACATTATTTTAAGTGTTAATGTATTATGTTTAATCGCATAATTCCTACAACATTTCTCTTTGTTTTAAAGTGTTATATATAAATGGTATAGTACTATTAATAAAACTAAAATAATATTTCAATGAGAAATTAATTATGTCCGTAATGAAAATGGTAAACTTTATGGATCAATTAACCAAGAATGCATTAGATCTGAACACATGATCTGGTGCTATAGAAGTAGACGGTAGTATAATCATGACTTACTTATAAAATCAGTACAATATAAAATATAATATTGTTTATTTGCTTCGACAAATGCATGCAACACCAGGATTATGATTTATAGTATACATATATTGTTATAATATATATTATATAGTATGTACATGTATTATATGAAATACACTTTATACAGGCTGATGGCCAAAAATGCTTATTGTATTAAGGGGATTGCAAACAGACAATTATTTCAAACAAAATGTAGCAATTTTTTGTCAACCATATCGATGGACCTAATAACGTGATAAGACAGACTCCTGAAAGGAGATCGATAAGGACACTTTTTTTCCTTAACTCCTATACATTTTGGTTGAATATTTAAAATGTACGAAATTTTAAATGTTGATTATTTGAAAATTAAAGTAAATACCTTAAGATGTGGTCTGATTTCAAGTAGACACATTAACGAATTCAAATCAGTTTTCAGGAGTATTATTGAGTTTTCAGGTAGATCGGTAGGATTCACAAAAAGTACATAGGTACAAATGAGCATAAATTGTTTACTGTCCACACTCGCAACGCCATGGTGGTTAATTTTAAGTGCATATACGTGAGTGCTTCGCTATTTTATTTACACACATTCCCACATTAATGATCACTTTCTACGCACACATTAACAAGACCCGCATGCATACAATTTGAGAATTGCCTATTTTGAACTCCTTAAAAACTGTCTATTTGCAATCTCCTTTATGTACTTATCTAATATTATGTTGTATATAAGTTAAATCAAACTTTTAATTTTAAACAAAATATTATATAATATTATATCTATTTTTATGCTGCATGGATTTATTTTACTAGTTCTTTGAATTGTCAATTTCAGAAAAAAGGATATAATATATGTGTTTTATATTTAATTTATCGAACAAAATCGATTAAAATGAATAAAATCAAAATTTAATAACAAATGATGATACATAATTGGATGACACTATATTATGTATTATTGTATTATCTAGGTATATAGGCATGGGCCACGTTTGCAGTACTATACATGACGGAGAGCTCCAAAAACAAAATGTACAGGGAAAAACGATTAGTTACATCATCTAAAAACAATAAAAATACCCTATAGAGGAAAAATGTAGGTAAAGGGTAAAAAAGTACCTACTACCTACTGTATTTTAGAGAAAAATTAGTAAAATAAAAAATTATAGACCAATAATAAAATGAAACATTTGCCGCTTGCAATATGTAGGTCATTCTCTTGTCGGTTGAGTAAAGCTTCAGCATCGGCTAAGTTATTAACATTTTGTATCAACATCCAAACTGCTTTTCTGCATATTCTCCAAGTAGGTTCATTGTCCGAGGACATATCAATTACCAGCGACCGAGTTCGTCTAAAATAATAAACATAAAATAACGTTTTGTAACGATTTATATGCAAGCCAAACAAAAAACGTTTATCAAATCGCCTCCAACGATTCAAACACAATGAATATACTTCCTAACAATACATATTACTTGTAACTTATTATTGTTATTGCCATAAAAATCTTAGCTTTATGCATTTATAATAAGTATAGGTAGGTAATATCTTTTCATAATGTATACATCCCTTATTTAATCTCCAAAACTGCAGTACTTTTTGATATTGATTTACATTAATTACCTTTTTTGTGTACTGTAGGCAGTTCTAGTATCTAGTTTTTTATATGGGGAGAGGTGGGGGTTGAAAATTAATTTTTGATAACATTTATATGAAAATGATTTATTAATGGTATTTTTTATTATTTAACAATTATTTTTTTTTTAGGGGGGGGGGGGGGGGTACAGCCCCCTGACCAACCCTTCCCGGATACGTTACTGACTGTAAATC